CACCTCGTGATCGCACAGGCTGGTGTGCTTCTTCCATGTGGGCTTTGTTGCTTCTGAGCTAGATGGCCACTTGTTTACCTTCAAGCCTTTAAGACTCCAGACGCTATACCTTTTGATAGCCCGGCACCATCAGCTTTCTTCACCACATTTGCTTATTCACCCGCTTTGTCTTCAGTGATTATTTTTTACTGTATCTTTATGGATGCAGAAGGCCAGCGCTTTCTTGGAGGGCACCTCTGGGTGGGTTTGAAGCACCCACCTGTCGGCATTGAGTGTGGACCTAGAGGCTGGAGGAGTAGCTTGCACATGAGGAGATGCTGCGGAGCTTGGCCAGCGTTCATGTTCTTGAGTGCAGAACACCCCAAACCGGAGGGCAGATGTTTATCAGGGAGAACTTCTTTTAAACACATGACAATCTTATCTCTCAATCTGTAGTGTTTGACGTGTGCTCCTGGCTCCAGAGGGGCCTTTCCTTGCAGAATTCGACAGGCTCTTTGCCCTGAGGTTAGGACTGATCTCGTCCCATAGGCATCCCTGGGGGCTTCTCTTGAGCCCTCTCCTTCCTACCCCACCCCAGCTCTGAGAGCCACCCGCATGGCCCCTAGAAACCTGGTGCCCCCTGATTTCCAGGACATGCCCAGTGAAGAGGACACGGGCACCTCGGCGGCAGGTGGCATCCATCTCCTGGACTTCTCCGACGAGATCCTGCTGCACATCCTGAGCCACGTGCCCAGCACTGACCTGGTGCTGAGTGTCCGGCGCACCTGCCGCAAGCTGGCCACTCTCTGCCTGGACAAGAGCCTCATCCACACCGTGTTGCTGCAGAAGGACTACCAGGTGAGGCAGGGCAGGGTCGAGGGGGAACGCAGGAGACTGGAAACAAGCTAAACGGCAGCCTGGGGCCAGCCCAGCCCCACAGCCAGGAGACAGGCTCCAGAGCCAGGTGACAGAGCAAGGGGCAGGAAAGAGTGCAGTAGGTCCTTGGAGAGAGGGGCCAGACAGAGGTGGAGGCTATTCTGGGAGGGAGAGACTTGAGGCACAGGGATAGGAGGGAGCTTGGCTTTCTAGTCAGTACCTAGGAGTGGAGTAGCTGGGCCTCAGTGTGGGTCTTGGAGCTCCTAGAGGGTCCAGTAGGATCCAGTAGGAGCTTGCCCTGGTACTGGAGCGTTCCAGTTGCCCTCCATCCTTGTCAGTCTGCTGAATCTTACCCATTTCCCCAAACATCAAGTTGATTCTGACTCATATTGACCCCACGCGACAGAGAAGAACTCTCAATCATCTTTCTCCTGCAGAGTGACTGCTGGATTTGAACTGCCAGCCTTTTGGTTACCAGCCTCTTGCTTAGCCACTGTGCTCCCAGGGCTCCTGAGTCTTCCCAGTGAGCGAGCCGTCGGGTTGCCTTGTGGTACGAGCATGCGTTTTCCTGACGAAGGATGCTACTGTTCACCGTTCCCTACAGTGCATGGGCCTTGAAGGGCTTCCTTAGAGGAACTCTTTGATGGTCCGGTTGTTGTCTTCTGATTGGGCTGTAGCAGCAGTTCTTGATCTCGTCTGGACAGTAAGTCCAGTCCCTGTATTGTGAGGAGTTTCCTCTAGTCTTGCTCTTTCATTTGCTGCCTTTAGTTTTAGCAAAGCCCAGGGTATTGACTTTTTCCTTGAGCATTCATACTTTGTGTCGAGTTTAAGAAAAGGATGTGGCCAACCCAAGGTCTTTTTTTTCCCCCCACCCAAGGTCTTGAAGAATTTCCGTTACATTGTATTTCAGAAGTCTTACAAAGAGATCTCTTTTTTAAAGAAATCTCTTAAGTTTAAGCCTAGCTCCATGTTGTGTGTCCATTTCTCCATGTGGTGTGAGGTAAGGATCAAGCCTCCCTGCTTTGCATGTGGCCATCTGGTTGATCCAGCACCACTTCCTCATTGAATTATCTTGGAACCTTTATAGGAAACCAGTGGCTGGCATGTCTTCAAATATGGAAATGAGCAGAATGCTCTAGGGCCTTGACCCAAATCCAGATCTTAGGCGCTTTGGCAAGTATTCCTAACTGTTCTTGTCATTATTGTTAGCTGCCCCTCAGCCCCACTCGTCTAGGCCTGATGGGTTAACATGCTGCCGAGGCTTGCACTGACCCCATCCGTGATTGGTTGGGGATTGCGCTGTTGTGATCCATGAGAGTTCCCATTGGCTGGTTTTTGCAAGTAGATCTCCAGGCTTTCTCCCTGTCAGTCTTGGTCGGTCTGGCAGCTCTGCTGAAACTTTTTCAGCATCACAGCAACACCCCACCTCCACTGATAGACTGTGTCTGAGCCGTACATGTTGGCCTCAGACAGAACCTGGGAGGACACCGCGAGAGTTGTCGGTTGAACCATCCAGGGACCCTCAGAGAGTGAGTGTGTGTGTGTGTGTGTGTGTGTGTGTGTGTCCGTCCCGCTGTGGAGTGGCTCCTTCTGCTGGAGGCCGCTGTGCTTCATTCCCCAGAGTAATGAGGGACCAGGCTTGCTGTCTGGGAAGCTCTTTCTCATATAGGAGGTTCTGCTGCTACCACCAGCACCACCCACCTCACTTGCATCTAGAGCAAGTAAGGCGTGTCTTTGGACAAGGAGCCCTACGGCAGAATGGTTAAGTGGCTGGCTGATAACCCAAACGTTGGTGGTTCGAGCCCACCACACACTCCCTGGGAGAAAGAAGCAGGTTCCACAAAGATGTGCAGCGTTGGAAACTCCACGGGTCAGATCTGTCTCTAGGGGCCCCGTAAGTCAGAATCAACTCAACAGCAGTGGCTTGGCCTGTCTCTGGATGATGCAGGTTCAATCCCAGACACTTGGATCAGTGGTGAGCAGTGTCCCCAGCTAAGGTTCAGGGGCTTGTACAGCCCTGCTGGAACAAGGACACGTGTGTGATAACCAGCTGCAAGTCTGACTGGAGATGGCTGGACCCAGTGTGGGCCCCTTCAACCCCCCTCAACCAGTTGGTTTTGGTTTGAGTTTTGTTTGAATGTACACACAACCCCCTGCTCCTCCCCACCCCCACCCCACCCTCCATAGCTACAAGTGCCCTCCAGCGACCAGGATGACGTTCTTCGAGTTGCTCCCACGTCACCCCATTTCTGAGTTGCTCCTCCCCCTTTAGCTGAAGCTCAGCACCCCTTGAGGTTCTCATCGCACCTTTGGAGTTGCCCTTGTCCAGCTGGCCCAACACTAGCTGGTCTGAAAGGAGCTCAGAGCTCAGGCGGGCCTGTGTCAGGGGATCCCAGGGCGAGGAGTTTGGTTCCACCATGGGAAATGGTTGTGAATGGATGTGAAAGAAAACAGGAGCCCTAGCCCGTGTGCCTGGGCCTGGTTGGAGGGGTGTGCAGGGCAGAGGGTGGAGGAGCCTGGGGCAGGAGGGCATGGTGCCTGCTGGCTGTCTCTGCGTTCTCTGGGTGTGGCTGGGGCTTGTAGCTGGGCACCCTGGGCTGGGCCCTCGTGACTCGGCTCAAGGCCCGTAGGAGGGAAGGTACCTCGATGTCCTGGGCTTCTGTAACAGGACACCCCCACCGGATGGCTCGTCTGCACAGAGACCCATTGTCTCGGCACCGGAGGCTGCAGTCAGAGGCTGGGGTGTCAGTGAGTCCGTTTCTCCCAAGGCTCAGAGGGAGAGTAGGGTCCGGGCCCTGGAGGCCCCAGCATCCCTTGGCTTGTGGACGCCTCTTGGCGTGGTCATCTTCTCGGCATGCACCTTTTTTATATGGGCACCTCTCCCGCAGGACCTCAGGTGAACCAGTCCTTCTCTAATGACCATTTCCAAACGAGGTCGAGGGCACAGGTGCAGGCATAGTGCTTCCTCAGCGTCTCATTTTGAGGGGATAGAAGTGACAACAGAAAGGGGTGGAAGGGGGGATAGGGAGCTGATAGCATTGATGACTGTATAACCCCACATACAGAATTGTATGTGAATGGATATATTGGATATGTAAGATAAGGCATACATACATACATACATGCATACATACATACATAAATAAGGGTTCCTGGGGGATGTGGCGGGGGAGTGAGGGGATAAAGGGGAGCAGATATTAAGGAGTTGAAGACAAAAGAATGTTTTGAAACTGATGTGGTAGCAATTGTACAAGTGTTTTGAACTGTGGAATGTTACGATACCTGTAAAAGCTACCAATAAGGGGAGGCCACCAGTCTTCCCATGTGACCCAGCCAAAGCAGGGGGGTGAGTGCCCCTGAGGGCTGATGGAGACCCCCCGGGGTGTGCCTTCAGCTCATTCCTTCCCTCCTCCTCTGCCCCCTGCAGGCCAGTGAGGACAAGGTGAAGCAGCTGGTGAAGGTGATCGGCCGCGAGATCCAACAGCTGAACATGGCTGGCTGCTACTGGCTGTCGGGCACCACGGTGGAGCAGGTGGCCCGCTGCCGCAGCCTGGTGAAGGTGAACCTGTCGGGCTGCCACCTGACCTCGCTGCGCCTCTCCAAGGTGCTCTCGGCGCTGCAGCACCTGCGCTCGCTGGCCATCGATGTGAGCCCGGGCTTCGACGCCACCCAGCTGAGCAGCGAGTGCAAGGCCACCCTGAGCCGCGTGCGCGAGCTGCGGCAGACGCTGTTCACACCCTCGTACGGCGTGGTGCCCTGCTGTACTAGCCTGGAGAAGCTGCTGCTCTACTTCGAGATCCTGGACCGCACGCGCGAGGGCGCCATCCTCTCGGGCCAGCTGATGGTGGGCCAGAGCAACGTGCCGCACTACCAGCACCTGCGCGTCTTCTACGCCCGCCTGGCGCCCGGCTACATCAACCAGGAGGTGGTGCGCCTCTACCTGGCCGTGCTGAGCGACCGCACGCCCGAGAACCTGCACGCCTTCCTCATCTCCGTGCCCGGCAGCTTTGCCGAGAGCGGGGCCACCAAGAACCTGCTGGACTCGATGGCCCGCAGTGCCTGCCTGGACGCGCTGCAGCTGCCCAAGTCCTGGCTGAACGGCTCGGCGCTGCTGCAGCACCTGCGCTTCAGCAACCCGCTCTACTTCAGCTTCAGCCGCTGCGCCCTGTCCGGCAGCCACCTGGTCCAGCGGGTCATCAACGGCGGCCGGGACCTGCGCAGCTTGGCTAGCCTGAACCTCAGCGGTTGCGTCCACTGCCTCTCGCCCGACGCCCTCTTCCGCAAGGCCGAGGACGACATTGACAGCGGCATCCTGGAAACCCTGGTGGGCGCCTGCTGCAACCTGCGCCACCTGAACCTGTCGGCTGCGCACCACCACAGCGCCGAGGGCCTGGGCCGCCACCTCTGCCAGCTGCTGGCCCGCCTGCGCCACCTCCGCTCGCTAGCCCTGCCCGTCTGTGCCGTCGCTGACTCCGCGCCACAGGCTGACCGTGCGCCTGCGCCGCCCGCCATGCACGCAGTACAGCGTGGCTTCGGCAAGAAGGTGCGCCTGGGCGTGTCCTCAGGCCCCTTCACGGGTCAGTCGGTGCCCCCGCCCACCTCCGTCTTCTGGACGCTGCTGCGGAGCGTGCCCTTCCTGGAGCGCCTGGAGCTTATTGGCTCCAACTTCTCCTCCGCCATGCCGCGCAACGAGCCGGCCATCCGCAACTCCCTGCCCCCCTGCAGCCGCGCACAGAGCGTCGGGGACGCTGAGGTGGCCGCCATCGGCCAGCTGGCCTTCCTGAGGCACCTGACGCTGGCCCAGCTGCCCAGCATCCTGACGGGCTCTGGGCTGCTCACCATCGGCCTGCAGTGCCAGCAGTTGCAGTCGCTGTCGCTGGCCAACCTGGGCATGATGGGGAAGGTGGTGTACATGCCCGCGCTCTTGGACATGCTGCGGCACTGCAGGCGGCTCAGGGACCTCAGGTGAGGGGACGGCCAGACCAGGGACTCTCTCTCTCTCTCTCTTACTTTCTCTGGGCTCTCCCAGTGCTTTTGGGCTCAGAGTCTTGGGTCAGTGGGGGACCCTGGAGGGCATGTGTGGTCTACATACAAGGGGGTACCCCCCAAAACCCGGAGTTGTGCTGGGCGGAGCAGAGCTTTTGTAGTCTGCATTTTTTCCTGCTGGGCAAACATCCAGCAACTCACTCGAGTTAGTGCACCCAGTGGCGTCACCTGGGAAGGTTATCATTGGTTACAGTGAATTTTTATTTGGAAAAGCAGTTTCGCTCAAACTTTGTTTTTTGTGATGGCCGGTTTAAGAGAACAGCGTGTGGCTATGAAATTTTGTTTCCTGTTTTGGGAAGAATGCCGCAGAAACTTGTGATGTTGAACACAGTTTACAAGGACAGCACTATGGGAAAAACTCGTGTAGGAGTGGTTTTCTAATTTCCAAAACCGTGAAGTGTCGATTGATGACAAACCTCGTTCAGGATGCCCATCAACTTCTGAAAGGTCCAGAAAGGTTGACTCATAGTGCATTTGGAGTTTATTCCACCAAATCAGACTGTTAATCAAGCTTCCTATTTAAAGGTCTGCGTAGACTGTGTAACAGCATGCAACCAAAAAAGGCCTGATTTATAGCAGACGGGGTACTGGTTTTGCCACCACAACAGCACTTGCTCAAACAGCCATCTCAGTGTGCCAGTTTTTGACAAAAAAAGGCGCACCTCTTTTGCCCCAGGTACCTTACTCACCTGACCTCTCTTTGTGCGACTTCTTTTTGTTTCTGCACATGAAGAGGGACATGAAAGGACAACGATTTGACGACTTAAAAGAGGTGGAAAAAAAACCCAAATAAAAAATGAGGGAGATGCTGTTAACCATCCAAACAGATGCGTTTGCAAAATGTTTCCAAGAAGGGAATCTCAGCTTTGATAAATGTATTAAGTGCAATGGAGAGTACTTTAAGGTGCTAAAGTTGTTTTGTAAAAAAAATTTAAATACATAGCTTTGGGCGGGGAATCCGGATTTTTTTTGGTATCCCTTTGTATGAACCAGGGGTGGGGCAGGGAGAGCTGCATTTGGAGACTGGGGGTCTTGATACATTGCGGTCACATTGTCATCTTTGTTAACACTGCTGCTGGCGCTTCAGTTCACACACAGCCCTGGGCGTCCCCCGTTAGTCCAGGCTGGGCTGGGCCACTTCGGTCCACTGTGCTCTCACAGGCTGCCCTTGAGAATCAGGTTGCCAGCCCTTTCTTCCCAGCCCTTGGTCTGGGGGCTCCACTGAACCCCGTTTATCATGCCGCCCCACTGGTGGAGTGCTGATCCCAGCGATGGCAGGTGATGGGCACTTAGAGCTGCGGCCCCAGGAAGCCAGGGCCTGGGGCTCTGAGGGACAAAAGGAGGAGGACCTGGTGAAGGTCATGACCCTACTGGCCACAGGAGAACTACCCCATGGGGTTTCCAGGAAGCAGACAGCCATGTCTTTCTCCTGTGGAGCCGCTGGTGAGGCTGGTGGGTTCTCACTCACCTTTTGGTTTGCAGCTGAGTGCCTTAACCACTGCGCCACCAGATTCCTCCTCAAGTGAAACTAAGTAACTAACTCTAACTAACCCACTGTCAACAACTCACATCAACCCTAGAGGGCAGAGTAGAACTGCCCTTGTGGGTTTCTGAGGCTGTCACTCTTCCCAGGGGCAGAAAGCTCATCTTTCTCCCTAGCGGGTGGCTGGTAGTTTTGAACTGCTGACCTTGTGGCACTATGGCAACGGAAGCACAGCATTTGACAGTAGCATTCTTCACTTTCCTGAGTGAAACCTTTGAGGTCATTCAGAGATGACGTCAAGGGGATGGTTGTGGCGAGAGACATTGAGGCCAGCCTCAGGGCAGTAGTCCTGGGGTCCCTGAGCCCCATGGGGACCCTCTGGGCACCTGAAGTTCTGTTCAAATTCTCAGAATTTGTACAGTGCTGGCTCAGGAAGCCCCTGGGGTTCTTTCGGCCAGCCCTGGAGCTCCCCCACCCTGGGTGCCCAGCAGCCTGCTGGCAGCATGCCCGCTCGGGGCAGGACAGCCTGTACAAAACCCACACACTGAGACATCGCCAGCTGGCCCCGTGCCTCTGGGTTCCCACGTTTGCTGCCAGCCAGCCCTTATTGGGTGTAAGGAACAGGGGGGCCTCTTGTTCCAGTGGGAGTGGGGGAGCACAGCTTGATACTGGCCGGGAGCCGCTTGCAGCCGCTTGCGCCTGCCCTGCCAGGGCGCTCCCGCTCCCACGGGGAGGAGGCGGTGCTGGAACATGGTGTTCTATCGTGGTGGCACCTCGAGATGAGTACCCGCTGGGCAGACACCACCCTTCCCTCTGAAGGCTGGCTTCTTGCCTTGCCCGCTGGGGAACGAGGGGCGGAAGTTACCCCAAGTCATTCTGGGCGGGACTGTGGGCAGGGCAGCAAGGAGCCACCTGGGAACCAGGGTGCTGGGCTGGCCAGCCGGAGGAGCCGGTTGGGGATGGTTCTACCTGGTCCTACCCAGGTGAGGTGGGAACCCCAGGGAATGAGTTGGGTCAAGACCCCCAGCCAGGGCAGCAGGGTGGAGTCAGCCTTGGGCCGACATGCCATCGGCCCCCAGCCCCAGCCCGCTGCATCACCTCACCGTCCCTGCCCCGGGGAAGCTGACCCCTGCCTGACCACCCCCTGTGGGCTTTGTCGGGTATAGGGGCGCATAGGGCCCACTATGGGGCCACATAGACCTCATTCTGTAGGGTAGAAAATCCGGAAGTGGCTGTTGAATTTGAAAAAGAAAAATCCAAATACACAGTGCACGTGCATGTATGTGCACCTATGTGAACACTGGTGTGTAATCTGACGACCTTGAAGCTGCGCAGCCACACGGACCTGCAACGCCACCTAGTGGCCGCTTACTGCAGCCCAGACCTCGCTGTAGCTCAAGCCCCCCTCTCCCCCCTTCCAGGACAGCTAAAGGGGGCTTGCCTCAAGAGTTAAAACTTTCTTCGTCTGCCACCCCCCCCCTCCACCCCATGGTGTTTTTATGTGAAACTAATTGCTTTTTCCTTTTCCTAATTGTATTTTGGGTGAGCAGGTACACATGGCAAAAACCACCCCCATGCCACCCTTTCTGGGCCAGGTCATCAGTGACGTGGATCCCTGCCTCACCCTGTGTGAACGTTCGGTTATCCCACCTAGTGGTTGCCCCTCCACTGACAGCTGTCCATACTTGGGTCACATAGAGAATTTTTTTTTCTTTCTGCAGCACTCAAGGGTGACACTCCTCATCTCTGGACTAAACTGCTGCTGTGATGGCATGTCGGCCCAAGGCTGACTCCACCCTGCTGCCCTGGCTGGAACAGGCCCCGGCAGCAGTTTCTCAGGACAATAGTTCAGGGGCTCATGCAGCCCCAGTGACTCCGAAAGTCTGGATTCTATGAGAACTTGAAATTCTGCTCCACATTCTGCCCCCCTTTTTGACCATTGCCCCCTCCTCAGTGCCCAGTGTATCTGGGTCCCCATTACATGTGCTCACCAAGGGTAGGAACCACACATGCCTGCAGTGCCAGTCAGTGTTTGAGAAAGATGGGGGGGTTCTAGGGCCTCCAGCGGGCAGGTCAATTTGAACCAGTGACCCTCTGCTGCGTCTGTGGGTGGGCTGACCACTCGGTGCCCACAGGGGCTCCACCCAGCACTGGGGCTGTCAAGTGGTAGTGGTGTGATTGGAGGGCGGGCAGCTGGCCTCGTTGCCGTCCCGGCAGTCCCGGCACGGCCAGGTGGCCGCTCACCGCCCTGCCTCCCCACAGGTTGGAGCAGCCCTACTTCAGCGCCAACTCGCAGTTCTTCCAGGCGCTCAGCCAGTGCTCCCGCCTGCAGCGGCTCTGCCTGGTCTCGCGCAGCGGCACGCTGCAGCCCGACGCCCTGCTGGCCTTCATGGGCCGCTGCCTGCACGTCATCATGTGCCACATGTTCACAGGGGAGTCCCTCACCGCCTGCAAGAGCCTGCAGCAGACCCTGCTCCGGAGGTGAGGGCATGGGGGCGGGGTGGGTGGGGGTGGCACAGGGCGGGGAAGGGGCTGGACCAGACCAACAGTGGAGTGGCCCATCATGTCCAGCCCAGAAACCCAGGGCCCCAGGTCGTAGCCGTGGGTGGAGTCAGTCAGTGGGCTGAAGGTAACTGAAGCCTTGGTCCCAAGTGCCAGGGTGCCCCCTGCTTGCCCATGTGGGGACAGGCACGTTTCTCTGGGCAATGCACCTGTCCAAATCTCTCTCTTTACTAACTTGCATTTGAAATAATTCAAGATGTCAAGAAATTTCAACAGTAAGTGACCGAGTTCTCAAATGTCTTTATGCGCACTGCCACGGCGTCGGCCCGGCTCAGCAGCCCTCCAGGACGGAGCAGGACGGCCCCTGCGGCCCCAGCTGTCCATCTCTGGAAGCTGACAGCCACGGGCAGTGGGCACCTGGCTAAAGCCCCCTGGCTGTTAACCTGAAGGGCTGAGGTCTGAACCCACCAACCAGCCCTGGGGAGAAAGATGAGGCAAAGATTTAGTGTCACAGGAAACCCACAGGGGCGGTTCAACCCTGTCCTGAAGGGTCACTGTGAGTCAGAGCCAGCCTGATGGCACGGGGATTGGTTTTGGGATTTGGATTTTGCCTCCTCCCCAGAGATGCAGTGATTTAAGCTCTTCCTGGGCTGCTAACCGCAGAGTTGGCGGTTTGAACTGGGCAGCAGAGAGATGAGGCTGTCTTCCCGCAAACACAGTCCCGCTGTCTGGAGTCGCTCTGAGGCAGAGCCGGCTCCACAGTAGTGGGTTTGGTGTTTGGGGCTTTGTTCCTTCTACATCTATTAATTGGGATCCACTGTGAGAAAGACCTGTCTCTTCTCAGTGTTATTTATTCCGTAATAATAAATCGATCTAAAAGGAGTGTGCTTATAATGACTCCCAAAGCCGCCAGGAACAAATTTAAACTCAACAGAGAGCTCAGCATTGGATCATACTGAACTTGAGTGTGAACTTGTGGTTATGTATTGTAGTCCAGTACGACCTTCGGCCCCCCTCCCCTTCTGTCTTTATTTTCACTGTGGTGAATGATGTCACCAATGCCTGCCTTGCCCCCAGCTCAGTGCCCTGCAGCCCTGACTGCCCTCCACTCCCACACGTTCCTTCCCTCCCTCCCATAGACTCCACGCCCCTTAGCAGCGGCCCCTCCTGCTCCTCTGGCCCTGTCCCCTCCAGAACCCGCCCTGTCGGCTTCTAAAGGACCCTTCCTGCTTCTCTTCTGCACCAGTGAGCGGATGCAGCTCTATTTTCTTATGTCTTCAGACCCCAGTCTGCATGTCTGTGGCTCTTTTACACAATTATTGATCTTGGGGATCTCACCTTATCCACACCCAGCGCCCTGACTCGATCTTTTTACTGTTATGCATTCTTTTCAACTTTTTGTGATTTGAGCAAATGTCTACAGAGCAGACTGATTTCTCCTTCAACACTCGGTGCATATTCGTTTCACAGCGTCAATTGCAGCCCCCACGATGCCGCAGCCCTGCGCCCGCCTCTTCCCTGGGCTTCCCATTTCCACGCCGCCTTCTCTGCTTCCCCTGGGTACTTGCTGCCCTTTGGATCTTGTGTGATTGATTGTTCTTTTTTTTTTTTTTTTGATTGATTGTTCTAAGGCAGTGGTTCACAACCTTCCTGGAGCCGCAACCCTTTCATACAGTTCCTCACGTAGTGGTGACCTCACCCCCCAACCATAAAATTATTTTTGTTGCTACTTCAAAACTGTCATTTTGCTACTGTTATGAATTGGGCGATCCCTGTGAAAGAGTTGTTTGACCCCAAAGGGGTCATGACCCACAGATTGAGAACCGCTGTTCTAAGGGGTGTGTGGGGCTCCCTGGTGTTTTTCACCTTATTGACCTGTCTATTGTTTGGCTGAAAGTGGAGCTGGGAGGTGAGTTCTGTTCCAGATTTGAAGGGTAATAGGGGCCAGTGTCTTCAGTATTCTTCTTGAAATTTATTTTAAATAGCTTACAAGTCACAGACACAAAGGAACATCTTATAATGGGGCTCACCTGGTACCCCCCAGGAGTTGGTGATGGCCATGAATCCAGAAGGCCCAGGGCTTCCTCAGGCTCCTTGGGCCGCTGTAGCACAGAAACTACACTATCTCATGACAGGACACCCCCGCCCCACCCCCGCCCTCCGCCAGGGCAGGGACTCTACTCGCTCTTTCTCCCGGGCAGCTGTGTGCATGCTCTGCCCATTTTCCCCATCACCCTCCCCTGGTGCCCTGAGCTCCGGGCGGCAGGGGCAGGTGCTGGATTGGGGACCTCTAGGGGCCAGGTTGAGGTACTAGGAGCCAGGTTGGGGGATCAGTGGGTTGGGCTGGGAGTCCAGGGGACTGGGTTAGGGGTCCAGGGGCCTGCCTGGTTTTTTACTGAGAGCTTGCTGTAGCAGGCACTGTGTTAAAGAGACACACATCCCAGCAAAAGGGACAATTGTGTGCGTGTGGATGTCTCCCACTACTGCCTCCTCGACCTCTACCAGTCTGCACTGCAGAGGGTAGCAGACCCCCCCAGGAGATAAGGGATCTTACTTCACCCCCTCCTGGGAACCCATGCAGGTACAGTGACTGTGACTGGCTCATAGGGCTTGGGCCAGGGAGTGCCACACTGCCAACAGCAGGGCTGGGACAGGTCCCTAGAGACGGGTGTAGGAGACCACCCACCTGTTTGTGTGGAGACTGGCTTGGTGTCCCCTCTTCAGGTGACACTGCAGGGCCAGTGGTACCTGTACATGGTGGCCTGGTAAGCCTCAGGCTGGCGAAGTAGCCCAGACATCCTCCTGTCCTGCCCCAAGGACCTGCTCCTCCACAGGATCCCCAAGGCCTGAGATATGCACCAGTGGGCAGCCAGCCAGGTCCAGGTGCCCGCTGCGTCTGTGCAAGGTTCCCAGCAGGTGGCGCTGTGGCCATGTCCTCCGCCTTCCCAGCTGCTCCCCTCCCCCTCCCCAGGCCTGGTTCATAAGCCTGCAATGTGGGAGGGGGGCCTTGAAATGAGAGGTGCCAAAAAAAAAAAAAGAAATGAGAGGTGCCTTTTTTTGTTGTTGAGATTTCGCTGTCACCTATCTAGGGCTTTCCTCCCTCCTCATCCCTGCACCCCACCCCGACCCCCCCTGCCCCAACCCAACAGCAGCCTAGAGAAGTGCCCAGTGATTGGGGAGGACAGGCCTGGCCCCTGCTGCCCTGCAGGTGCTGCCTCCCCTGCGCACGGGCACTGCCCTCTCCCACTGGCATTGTTAGCAACATTGTTAACATTCCTACAGCACACTGGGAGCCCACACAGACACACAGTAACACAGTTACCATCTTCCCGAGTTCCCGTGGTGGTTGGGTGTGGTGAGACAGCAAACCCACCCCAGAGGGCTTTGCAGGCTGCCGGCTTTTCGGGAGCAGGTGTGGAGACACAACCAAAGAGAGACCCCTGTGACGGAGGACTGTTGGCTGCCATCTTCACCCGGATGGTTGCCAGACCTTTCTCCCGCCGAACTTTTCCTCAACAGCTAGGCGCTCCACCCACGCGTCGTGCCACCAGAGGGAAACTATTTGAGCCTGCCCAGCAGCTGTGTGCAGATTAGCGTCAGGGCCCTGAACACGGCTGTGGGTTCCCATCTTCCACAGCTCCGTTGTGCTGTCGGCCACAGCCACCCTTCCTCATCAGCCCGTCCAGGGGTCAGGGAGGTACCTGGTGAGCCAGGACCTCCTTGGGCCTGAACTGAGGTGTTTCCTGCTGATCTGCCTCTTGCCCTTGGGGTGGACGCAGATTTAGAGATCCCTGCCCTGCTGGCCTCAGGGATGCCTCCTGGCTTCAGCCAGGGAGCCCCTTGCCCTGCTCTGTCTGCCTCACTTCCTGCCACTCCCAGAAAACCCTGAGTCATCCCGTTTGGCTGAGCAAGCACACTTCCCTCCCCAGCGGCAGTCTGGGGGCTGCCATTTCTGCCGTCGGTGTACCACCAAGCCCTGTCCCTGCCCCCTGCTCCCAGCGGCTTCCCTGGGCTGTCCTGGCTGGCAGTGGGTGTCTCTGTCACTGCCCTGCTGGGTCTGGTGGCATCTGTGGACCTGTGTGTCCCATTCACCCACCCTGTGGTTTCTCATGGGAGTGACACCGATGCTCTGTTCCACACAATGCCCCGCTGGGGTCAGTTGCACCGGCCTTGCCGGCCAGCTTCTAGACCATGTCTGGCCCTGGTCTCACTCTCCACGGCAGCTCCTGAGCTGTGTCCTAGGCCTTGGACTTGCTCAGAGCCCTCGTTTCCTGCCTGGCTCATAGAGGTCTGGGGACCCTGGCTGGTTGTTGCAGTTGAGTGGCAGAGCAGGCAAGGGTGCTGGCTCCCCTCAGAGCTCCGTGGGAAACCTGGGTACCATCTGATTAGGAACGGCCCTACTCAAGGAGTTGTGCAGGGGGTGGAGAGCCCTGGTCTGTGCCAGGAGGCAGCTTTGGGGTTTCTGGTGACAACCCACAATGCTGTCCTGACAGCGGGGTGTGGGCCTCGAGCTCTGCCAGGAAAAGGGGCTCTGAGCGCCAGGACTAGCGCCCATCCCCGTGCCCCAGAGCGAGCTCCTGAGTCTGCAGACCCTGGACAGAGAGGGACTGGAGAGTGCTAGTCACAGGGCCCAGAGGGTGAGCTGTGGAGGGACAGGGTGCTCCCACATCGGGTGCCAGCGTCCTGAGGGCTGTAGTCATGGGTCTCTCGAGGCTCCTTTCTGTAAGACAGCAGGAATTCCATCTGGGAGGCGGGCTGGGCCCCTCTGTCTGCTGTGACCCAGGTCTCACATTCCTGGGGATGGGTCAGGAGTTCTCTCTGTCCCCAGACTCTGCTGGAAATTCCTTCCCTGAGCAGAACTAGTGGTCCTGGGTGTGTGACTTGGCAAGGGTTCCTGCTGATGAGGAATGTGGGCTGGCAAGACCAGCCAGCCAGAGCACCCAAACGACCCCCTCCCCCCCAAAGGAAGCCATACTATG